AAAAACTAAATATCATTCGCAAATCCATAAAGAAAAGTTCCAGAAAAGCTATTGAAGGAACTCAGCGTTCCAAGTTTGCATATTGAAGAAACTCTTTAAAATTCCAGAATTAAATTATATTCCATTCATAAATTATTGCACTTAAGAAAATGAAAAAATAATTTTTGGAAATTGGTACAATTCGCAAAATAATCAAAGAAGCAGTATTATTTACTACTCAAGATTAATCGATCTTAGTATTCAGAATTTAGCAAATTTTGAATCACCAATTTAGCTTTAAACTAGTAACTCTCTAACAATCGAATTATTATTGCATGGGTGGAGTGACTAGGGCGGATGCTGAGCACGCCATTATGGAGTGCAAAGAATGGGAAATATAATATAATATATACTACTTAAGATTAATCGATCTTAGTATTCAGCATTTAGCAAAATTTGAGTCACCAATTCAGCTTTAAACTAGTAACTCTCTAACAATCTAATTATTATTACATGGAGGAGCGACTAGGGCGGATGCTGAGCACGCCATTATGGAGTGCAAAGAATGGGAAATATAATATAATATATACTACTCAAGATTAGTCGATCTTAGTATTCAGCATTTAGCAAATTTTGAATCACCAATTTAGCTTTAAACTAGTAACTCTCTAGCAATCTAGTTATTGCTTGGGTGGAGCGACTAGGGCGGATGCTGAGTACACCATTATGGAGTGCAAAAATGGGAAAAGGGAAGACAAGAACTATGGAGGAAAATAGTAAGGAAAAAATCTCTTTTTCAACCAATTTTATAACATTATTGACAGGAAAAAATTATATGGTGCACTATACAATTATATACAAGCAAATAAAATAAAAGTGTAAAAATTAATTATAAAATGTATATGTCTAATGTACGTTTATACAAAGTCAACAAAAACAATAAAAAAACAATCTAATTTATCAGTGGAACACAAACTGCTTCTATATAAAACAATAATGATCCAGAGGACACTAAAACTAAAATCTCAAGGGCAATTCCAAAATCGCAATGTAACAAACGATATAATTCCATATAATCTTGAAATGAAAACGAAACCAATGAAAAAAAGGTAAAAATGACTAATTAAAAGAATGGCCACAGGATAACACTAAAATTTCACATATAAGACTTATTATTAGTTGTTTTCATTACTATTATCGGATTTCTTTATCTTTGGTATAAAACAATTGCAGTATTAATTTTTAACTTATAAAAATATACCCGGAGACCCAATCATTGGATTGGCATTCGATTTACACATTTTACTGATGTTCAGGATGGGATAGGTGCAAATATTGAAAATATGAAAAAAATCTCAATCGTTAAATTATCATGTTTAATTATGGAAATAGTTTCATGAAAAACCATCTTGAATATAAGTAGTAACTAAATAAATACTAAAAGAATTCATATTAGAATCAATCAGGACTCTAGTGTGAATCTCATGCGTTAGAATCTAACTTGAAAAGACCAATTTGAATTATTGTAAGAAAATAACTGTTTTTGAACAAGGAAGAGAAAGAGAAGGTGCGCAGGATTAAAATCGCTATTAATTTAGTTTCTTTTGAAAGTGTATCAAAAATATTTCAATTGTCTTTTATTACCATGATTAGTCTTTGTGATGTTGTAGGAGCACTATCACCTAACAATTTTCAATTACCACTGGCAAACTTTAAAAAATTATCGATTTCGCGAAAAATATGAACTTTAGACGATCGCGAGCCATTTGACTTTTTGGAGTATATTTTTTTCAAAATTTGATATTTTTTAATAATAATAATCAAATAACACTATACGCCTAATATATTACTGGTGGCTATGTTCTATTAATAGCCCGCGGGTACAGTCCGTGACACAAAAGCCACGCGAATGTTCAACTCTCAAAACACGTGCATACGAAATGCAGAGATGGACTAACTATAATAATAACTAATGTTTATTGTTATCATTCTTATCATTGGGGATTGAGAAAGACTTTCTCGATTTATTTAATTTTAAGAGCCAAAGTAAGAAGAAGGGTATTGATATCTACTTTTCAGGATACTTCCTAGAGGTATGGGATTCCAATTAGAAGTATCAGCCTCGTAGAGTCTGATGTCCAGCAGAATGTTTCTAAGCAAAAATAGACCTTCGGGGCATTGCTGCAATATAATAATTCGAAAGGTGACCATGGGAATGTATTGTACTCCCTCAAAAATCTTAACTTCTTCTATAAGAAACTTGAGAAACTTAATCTAGAAACAGAAGGTCAACAAGAGTATATAGTAGGGATGGGCTTATCATATCCGGATCGATTAGGATTTGATTCCTTGTGGATTGGAGCTATGGGATTTCAATTAGAAGTATCAGCCTCGTAAATCCTGATCAAGCAGAATGATTTTAATCAAAAATAGACCTTTGGGGCATTGCTGCAATCATAACCAGAAAGGTGACCATGGGAATGTCTAGTACTTCCTCAAAAATCTTGATTTCTTCTAAAGGAAACTTAGAAACTTAATCCAGAAAAAGAAGGTCAACAAGAGTATATAGTAGAGTTGTGGGCTTATCATATCCGAAACCAGATCAGTTAGGATTTGATTCCTGGTGGATTGGAGCTATGGGATTTCAATTAGAAGTATCAGCCTCGTAGAGCCTGATTTGAAGTAGTAATATGTTTGTAAGCAAAAATAGACCTTCGAGGCATCGTTGCAATATCATAATTAGAGAAGTGACCATGGGGATGTCTAGTACTTTCTCAAAAATCTTAACAACTTCCAAAACAAGGCTGGTGAGCTCGTGCAATAACCAACTAGGAACTTAATCCAGAGAAAATGTGTCAACAAGAGTATGTAGTAGAGATGGTCTTATCATATCGGTTAGGATTTGACTCTGCTTCAAAAAGGATTTATATCCACTTAACAACTCCAACGACTCCGACAACTTCAAAACCTAACACTCGATAAAGTGATAATTTCAAGCAATTCTAAATGCAATTCAACAATAGGACAGAGCCATGATCAACACTATGCAAAAAAATGTATTGAAGATTTTTCAGGAAATGTATAAAAAATGTATAAATGTATAAAAATCTTGAAGATTGATTGAAATATTACATTAAGAACATATAAATGATTTATACAACAATTGTTTCACAATATAATTTGGATTTTAAAAGATCGTATTAGAATCAACTACGATTCTAACTTGAATTAGAATCTAACCTAAGAAGAGCCATCTTAATTATTGTAAGGACTGTTTTTTGAACTTTGTGGAATGATTTAAATTATAATTTATAAATATAAATTATAATAACAAGTTATTAAATAAATATGAAGTTTACGAAAAATAACCACATATCAAGAAGGACCAGTTTCAAATATTGCAATAAATATTATACCAAAAAGACAACGAAACAATGGGTTCAGTATAAATTCTAAAATAGAATTTTTGTCTTTATAGCATCAACATATGCCAATATTTTTGAATCTTAGAAATGCACCTAAAAATGCCGACTAGTCAGCTTCCAGATATTTTTTTTCAAAATGAACAAAATAGTCATTTTCAAAATATCATTTCCTCCATTCAAAATCCCATCCTGTTCTTGTCTTTCACACAGTGTTAGCAAAATAACAATCCCTTAGGCTGACCAATTTGTGGGTCCGGTTTTTCGCAGACAATCTTGCAGACAATTTAATGAAACACGTCGATTTTTGAATAATGACTGTAACGGATACGTTTGACCCACTGATTTTAATTTAAAGTAGACCCTTCGATGTGTTTCGACCGGCTTTTAAAATCGTAAATTAGATAGGCAATTTGGAAGAGTGAATTATGTTGTGATCGATAATAAATAACACGGATAGAAATTGGTAATAGATTGAAAACGTATATATATAACAACACTCTTTTTTGCACTAATTTATTAAATAATAATTTTACAAACGTTTCGAGACTAGGTTTGCCTCATCATCAGTGTGTTATAATATATAATCTAAAATATGGAAATCTAAATTAGCATTTTGTGTTATCCGTTACAAGTCATTCGTTTTACTGCATTACCAACGATCGTCGGAGTCTGTATTCTCTATTCAAGGTCAACTAGATGAGTCATGAAATATCAAAAAAGAAAGAGAAGGAATAGGGCCCAGTTGAAAAAAAGATGTCGCTAGGAGAAAAAATATTTTTTGAAAGCAAACGGTTCGTTTATAAAAAATTGTTTTAAATTATAATAATTAAAAATATATGTACATATACATACATGCATACCCATAACACTAATAACACAACATTATTATTTAATAAAATAGTGCAAAAAAGAGTGTTGTTTGTTCATATTTCTAAATTAATATATATATATATATATATATATATATATATATATATGTGTGTGTGTGTGTGTGTGTGTGTGTGTGTATGTACTAGCTGACCCCGGTTAGCCATAAAAAATATTTCTAGCTAATTTTGGTTGCGAATGTAGAAGCAAGTGATATGTAAGTGAAAAGGGCAGCTAGCACAAACTTATATGGTTGGTTTACCCACTGCAACGCATGCCACATACGAATGTTGTCCCTTGTAAGGCGATTGAAGAACTAATTTCTCACAACTATTTTAACGAAATGATTCACTTACAGTTTCCAATCTCCAAATCACAAAAGTCTTTATTAATTGTGTGAATTAAGTCCACTTAATTCACAGCAATAAATTTTAATCAAAACTAGACAATTATTATTACTATCGCAAAATACTATTGTAATGACTAAAAGCGACTGTTCTTTGATAAAACGTTGCATTTGCCCTAAATACGATGTCCCAGCCATATTGCGAATTATTTGTTCTGAAAGATAATCCAAAGCAATTACGATAACGACACACATCACACTCTAATTACGAGATATATGTGGATAGTGCAAACTAATTAGAAAATCGTAAATGAAAACGACACTGATTTGGGAAAATAAACTTTAAACAAAAAAAAACTGAAATTTTGAACAACAATTAGTACTTAACAATTTAGTAAAATGTTGAGATGATCATTCTCCTTATCCACGTCCATTTTCAGAAAGCAACCTGACCATTGTCCAATCTGTATTTGATATATTTTTATTATTAAAATTTTTCTAATACTGATGGTTAATTAGATCTACCAATACTCTGAAAGGCTATGAAAATATATTTTAGTTCAACATTTTCACTACTGCTTGATATCAAGCTGACTCAGATAGGTCAAATGTGGAATCTGTGGGTTTCAGAGCCAGAAGGATAAAATATTTCTTTTTGTATATGTTTTTCTTTATAATAAATTCTAATTAGAATTGAATTACGCTTCTGTCTATTTGTTATAAAATATTTAATTATATTTTGTATTGATTCGATTAAGTTGTTATGGTAATTCATGTTATTAACTTTGTTGTAAATAAAATGCTGATTACTTTGGCGTTTTGTTATTTCTATAAGGCATTCATAGAAGTAGAAAATCAAACTGTATATATGTAAGTTATAATTAAAATTTAATTGTTATAATCGAACTTGTAACTAGGTGTAAGGGTAATAAATAAAAATTGAGTATAATTAGATAAATTGTTCAATTGTGAAATTAGTAAAATATATATTCTGAAGAAAACAATAAACGTCTGCTTCGGGAAGTTATAAATACTCTATACAAAATATCAAAATATGAAGAATTAAGAATGAAGAAATAAAAGAAGATAGGAGTTAGAATAAAGAATAAAAAAAGACAGAAGATAAAACAATATTACCAGAAGTAAGTTGAAAAAGAAATATGAAGAAATAAGAATGAAGAAATAAGAGAAGATAGGAGTTGAATAGAATTAGAAGTTAGAAGATAAAACAAGATTAGAAGAAGTAAGTTGGAAAAGAAATATGAAGAAATAAGAGGAGTTGAATAGAATTAGAAGTTAGAATATAAAACAAAATTGGAAACAAAAAGGTTGGAAGCCACTGAACTACTGGCTAAATGGATTCAAATATCAATTATCATTTATCACTTACCGCTTGTTGTCCACTGAAGAAATTTTCCTTCGATTTCTGATAAATCCTCCAAACTGTTTCCAGTAAAACCTGGAAACAGTTATCAAAGGAGACCACTACAAGCACAAAATTTTATTTACCACAGTCATAATGATAATAAATAAAAGGCACTTTATCCGAATCACATGTCTTCTCACAAACGTTTAACTACTTTAGTCAATTCGGTGTATCACTTTCATTTAGCACCGAACACATCAACAACTTCCTACATATGTGGACACAAATGGTAAATTGAAAATTTAACTTTAAAATTAAAATTTTAATTCAGTAATACTTGTACTTGTAACATTTAATCTTTATTTCATTGATTAAAATAATACAAAAAAATGCCAATTGATGATTATATTGAAGAAACTAATTTATTAAAGTCCGAAGAATAAATGAAAAGAAAAGCAAGAACAGAATTCGAGATCAGGTTTAGAAGAAAAGAAGGAATGAAGAAGATCGGATATGGAAGAGAAAAAGAATCAAGAAGATCGGATATGAAAGAGAAGAAGAACGAAGAAGATCGGATATGAAAGAGAAGATGAATCAAGAAGATCGGATATGGAAGAGAAGAAGAATCAAGAAGTAAATGAAGTGGTAAATATAGGTGAATAGTAAATATGAAACACGTTTTTTTATTTTAACCCGAACTAGGGACTATAAAATTATTAACACGTTAATCGCCACGATAGTATCAGAAAAATTTTCCCATGGGCCATGGTAAATTTATTACATGATTTAGTCAAAAAATGTATCCTAAAGTAGTTTTCCTCTCATTTTCAAAATGTAATTAATTAAATTAATTATATTAATTTAACTTAATACATTAAGATACAAGTTAAATATGTAAATTTAGTTTTTATCAAGAAACAATGACCTAAATCAAATGGCAATTTTGTTTTCAATCTTGATTTACAAATGTTAATTGAAGTTACAAGTGTTTTTGATAACAAAAAAATGTGATATAAATTCATAGATAAAACTTGCAGGTAAAATTTTTATGCTTATCAATTCCTAATATTCTTTAAATTTCTCAAACAAAATGGTTATATAAAATACAACACATTCAATCAATATAATAATCAATACATCTATTGAAGCTCTGATATTAGAGCTCGAAGAAGAAAATGAAAAGAGAAGCAAGATTAGAATTGGAGAAGATCGGATTTAGAAGAAGAGAAGAATCAAGAAGATCGGATATAGAAGAGAAGAAGAATGAAGAAATCAGTTGTAAAAAGAAAGAAAGTCAGAATACAATATATAATATATATATTCTATTCGAACTTTTTTTTCTTTACAACTGATCTTGTTGATTCTTCTTTCCTATTCTATCCAAGAATATATATATATATATATATATATATATATATATATATATATAATTATTGAAGTGCACTTCAGGCTATTTTGAAACTATTTATTTTAATGGTGAAAGACGGAAGAGTTTCTGGCGATATTGCATAATAAAATATACAATTGCCGAAAAGAATTCATAAACTTTAGTTGTATATCAGTACAAAATTTTAGTTTGTCTTCAATAATTCAAAGGTCAATTCAGTACCAAATTTTAATTTGTACTTCAATACTACAAAGGTATAAATACTATTCAATACAATAGTAACGATAGGATTCAATTCAATACAAAATTTTCGTTTGTAATTGAATTTTTCGAAGGTTAAAATTTTAATTCAAGGAAAGTTTACTAATGTACTATTTTTTAGTGAATGCTTGTTTTAGTAATTCAAATGTAAAAGGTGAATTCTTTCAAACTATAAAGTAATTACTGTAAGTAATTTAAGAAAATTGTGCAATTGACTTGATAAATACATGAAGAATTAGTCTGGTATAATAAGTTCATAAATTTTAATTGTACTTCAATACAAAATTTTAGTTTGTACTTCAATACTTCAAAGATAGAATGAAGTTCAATATAATACAAAGGTTCAATTAAAATAAAATTTTATTTGTACTTCAATATTTCAGAGGATAAATTAATTTAAAGGAAACTATACAAGTGTACTATTTTGACTTTAAAACATGTTTAATTTCAGTAATTCAAAGGTAAAAGGAGAATTGTTTCAAAGTGTAAATAATATGAGAAAATTGTACAAATGACTGGGTAAAATAAATTCATAAATTTTAGTGGTATGTACTTCAATACAAAATTTTAGTTTGTATACTTCAAAGG